GTATCTACCAATAGTCACAACAGAGCTGGGATTCTAATGAAGTTCTAACTCTAAAGTTAATGCTCTTTTCATTCCTGGTTTCCACTGCAATGTTTGTCATAATACTTGCAGACGCTGATGTAGCTATACTGGTACTCTACTGTCCGAAACTCTTAATTGTAGGGGTAATTGTTATGCAGAGGAGTAATTACGTTGGGGTGGGGGTTTTTAATCATTTCCATCTCACACACTTACCCCATCTCTCACACAAGGCTGAAGCTTTGGGAAAAGAAGACCCTCTTCATAACTGCTGAACTTGGAGTGTCAACTGCTTTTGCTTCTCAGTCGGTCCCACCTATACCCCCTAATATGAAGTGACACTATATAGCATTCTTTTAATATTTGTTTCACTGAATGGCCGCCAAATATTCCCTCCTTATATTCATGCTCTTGTTTTGTATAATCATCTTGCACTGAGTGTGAGCTGGGTTTAGTGACTCGCTTCTAATGAATAGAAAAGGCAAAAATACTGCCATATCAATTCTGAGGTTATGTTTTTAAAAGATTGAATTCTGTCTTCAGCACTCTTTTGCTCCCTCTGAGAGCAGCGAGCTGCCATGTTGAGAGCTGCCCTTCAGGGAAAAACACGTGGCAGTGAATTGAGGGCAGCCTCTGGCCAACAAGCTACAAGAAACTGAGGCCCTCAGTTCAACAGCCCATGAGGAACTGAATCCTGTCAACAGCCACCGGTGAGCTTAAAAGCAGATCCTCCTTCAGGCACGCCTTCTGATGAAACCACATCCTGGCCAACACGTTGATTGCCACTTTACTAGAGACCTTGAGGCAGAGGAACCCCGATAAAGCATGCTCAGATTCCTGACCCACAGAAAGCGGGGTGGCAGATGTTTGTTGTTTGAAGCCACTACATTTTGGGATAATTGGTTATGCAGCAATAGAAAAAACTAATATACTCTTCCTACATACTGTTACTGTACATTCACCAACCATAGAAACATTGTTCAAGTAACCATTATCATACATTTTTCACAAATATCCAATCCGATTATGCCTGTTAGTGAACCACTACTGACATACATTTACCATCTTATTAGGGCAGACTGATGGATAATGGCAAGTTTAAATATGCCCCTCCCAACAGAATCAAAAGTAACAAGTAGCAAAACACTGACCAAATTCAGTTTTACTTTACAAATGAGAAATGTTTTCTCAGGAAATGCTTAAACCTTAGTGACAAAATATGTGAATACTTTCTTTAAATTGTGTAGACTAGACTTGCAGAGCCAGTAGTCCTACTGTCTTCCTGCCCATCTTTCTCTGAAGATCAAATTACTTATTGTAATGGGAGGAGGTCAGATTTTGTATAACTCGAAAAACAAAATGCTCAATTTTTGCTTTTTCTCAATGTTACATGAGGCAAAAAAGCAACAAGCCTCAGGAACAACCAGGAAAAAGAACAGGTGAAAGACTCCTTCAGCTTTCCTGGGAGGCAAAAAAGAAATGGATCCGGTCCATCTAGAAGTTCTGTTGGCTCTACCTTCCAAATATATCTAACATTCTATCGCGATTCACAAGTCTGCATCATGTCTCACCTGACTTATTCCAAGGGCCTCCTTGCTGCCACTCTTCTCACAAATAGCTCATTCCTACCTTAGCAGCCATAGTGATCTTTTTAAAGCATAAATCAGATTATATGACTTCTCTGCTCAAAATCCTCCAGTGGCTCCCAAAATAATTGGAGACTAAATAACACACTTCTAAATGACACATGGGTCAAAGTAGAAATCTCAAGAAAAATTAAAAATTATTCTGAATTAAATGGAAATGAAAACACAACTTATCAAAATTTGTGGGATGCAGAAAAGGCAGTCCTTGGGGAAAATTTATAGCATTGGATGCATATATTAATTAGAAAAGAAAAAAGATCTAAAATAAGTTATCTAAGCTTCCACCTTAGGAAGCTTGGAAAAGATGAGAAAATTAAATCCACAGTAAGCAGAAGAAAAGAAATTATAAAAATTAGAGCAGAAATCACTAAAATTGAAAACAGGAAATCCATAGATAAAATCAATAAAACCAAGAGCAGGTACTTTTAAAATGTCAAAATAGATAATCCTCAAGCTAGGGTAAGACAAAGAAAGAAGATACGGGTCGATAATATCAGAAATAAAAGAGGGGACATCACTACAGATTTCATGGGCATTAAAAGGATGATAAAGGAACACTGTGAACAACTTTATGCCCATAAATTTGATAACCGAGATGAAATGGACAAATTCCTCAAAAGACACAATCTGGCAAAACTCACACAACAAAAAATAGACAATCTTAATGGCCTATATCTCTTATAAAAACTGAATTGATATTTAATAATCTTCCAAAAAATAAAGCAACAAGCCCAGATGGGTTCAATTGTGAATTCCACCAAACATGTAAGGAAGAAATTATTGTTCTCCACAATCTCTTTGAGAAGACAGAGCAGAGACAATACTTCCTAACTCATTCTATGAGGCCAGCATTGCCCTAATATCAAAAACTGGATAAATATATTACAAGAAAATTACAGTATCTCCCATGAACACAGATGCAAAAATCCTCAAATTCAACAATACATAAAAAGAATTGTACAATACAACCAAGTGCAATTTATCCCAGTTAAACAACAATTATGCAACATTCAAAACTCAATGTAGGCCGGGCGTGGTGGCTCACGCCTGTAATCCTAGC